AGAGATGCGAGCAATAAATTTCATTATGACAGGTGCTTTTGAAAAACACGCCACAAAAAAAACAAATTAATAATTTTTGTAAAAAAAATTTATATGCACGCAATTTACCTTGAATAATTTTTTACCGTAGCAAGTTTTTTTGATAAACAATTCATGCCTACCCCACGATAGCACCAGACTTAAAATCCTTCCATTACTGCGTCCACAAAAATTTTTGTCGTAAAGAAATTTTGATTTGTTCATGCAAATACGTACGACAAGTTAAAATGATTTTTAAGATGTCATATTTAAATTTGTTTGAATACGAAATGCTTGGTTGTAGAGGTAACAAAATCTCATACTTTATTAAAGTTTTTACGGATATTAAGCTGGATAAATATATATATAAAAACAAATTAAATAAATTTCAATTATAAATTAATTTGCTGATAAAAAAATAAGCCGATGACGAGATATCAAAAAGGAAAATAACAAAGAACAAAACATCGAGCCAGATTGCAACAAGTAAGAAAATAGTAAGAAAGAAAACATCAAACAAACAAATAACCTCAGCAGCAACAACATTAAACAGCAAAAAAACAAAAAAATCACCAATAGTTAGTAGCCACAACAGAGTAAGATAATATTTTATTTTTCTTCATTTAGGCAGAGCGTTCATGAACAAAAGATCCATGAATTATTTATGTACACTAACAATACAAGCACACGCATCTTGCAACCCATGCACTTAATTCACACAGCACACACACACACGTTCACACACACACATACACATTCACACACACACGTTCACATACACACATACACATTCACACACACGAGCGCTCACACACACGTTCGGAACAAGCTCAAAATTAAGCACACACACGCACTAACAACCAACACTTATCTTATACCCACACACACACATACACGTACGTACACAAGCACCTACGCGGGAAAAGACGCGCACCTTCGAATTCACGTGCGCTCACATACTCATATAACACATCCACGCACAAAATGTACAAAAATCAACCGAGCCAGCCAACTAATCATCGCCTAAATCTAGAGGAGATTTTTGAAAGTCATGCAATAAGAATAAAATCCAAAAATTGCATAAAATTTTTAAAACAAAAATTGAATGGATAATGTTATGAATAATGTGCTGCACGTATAAATTACTATCTGCATTTGCTACTGCTGACTGGCCGTTCGTTAGATGTGTGCATCATTCCTTCCTATCAATCTCACCGCAGGGCTCATTCTTGTTAATAAACTGAGGAGAACAACATTTACATTCATTCCACATCTTACATTCCTTCTTCTGACAATGAAATTTTTGCAATTCGTTCTCTCTATAAGAAGTTATTTTTTCAAGAGTTTTTTAAACAAATTTCCTTAATTCCTCATAAATAAGTTTTTTCGAACATTCTCTCATCCAAACTTTTTCGCGCGCTATATTAAATTTACAGAGTTTTGTTGCATTTGTTCGTTATCAATGTCACTAAATATTATTTTCTAGCAGGGGGATTGATAGGTTGAGAGGCAAACGTATCTCAATCAATCAATCATTCATCAAGCAGTCAATCAATCATTCACTCATTCAATTGATCAATCAAGCATTCAATCATTCACATCCTTAATTTGAAGCAATATGGGTCAACACGAGGTAAGCCCAACACTGCTGCATGCATACGTCTTAATTAAATTAGAATTCTTCACAAAGAGGCTCTTTTATTATTCAGTAACAGTTTCAATTCATGAATTTTGAAATTAATATTTTGTGCTTTCTGCATTTATTTCAATCTAATAAAAAAAAATATTGAAGTCATTTTAGTTGCTCTAACAATTTTTTATATCATAAAATAAATCAGTATAATGATTTTAATTAAAGCAGTTGTATAGCAAGATTCGATAAAGTTCAAGACCCAAAAATAAATTTTAGAAAATTTCATTTTGGTGAACAATAGTTTTTACTTCAACATTTAAATACTGGAAATAAAAGATGGAAAAAGGAGTCACGGCGATTACGTTGAAAGATGGGATTTTAAAAAATTATTCTCCATGATCTTGGTAGTCCTAAACCTAAGGAAACAAAATAATGTTATTAAATTTGAACAGCAGTTTGGGAGCATATGTAAAATATGTTAATGAAATTCTTTTGTAAAACTTTTCTCAAAAAAAAAATTTTAAATTAAATTTTGTCAAATTATTCGTATTCATTAATAAATATTAAAATAAAAAATGTGTTTGACAATTTAGTGCTAAGTAACTATTAATAAATTCAAATAAAAGAGAAAAAAATGAAATTCAAATAAATGATAAATGTTCATGTGCCATCAAACGTCAAACAATTCCCAAGACATGTATTTATTTGAAAAATTGTTTTATCGGCTCGCAATGTGATGGAACGTTTGTTTCTATATTTATGATATTATTTGTATCTATTTATTAAATTTAAATTTTGAAAAATTGTTTCATACCAATACATTTTTGTACACGATTTTAGAAGCTGCTCTGAGCTGTTACAAGACTTGACAACATGGGGGTAAGAATTTTTCAAGCATATCAGTCGTATCGCTACTAATCAGTCTTCGGAAGCAATTTGAGAAAATTTCATTAAAATCATGCAAGGCTGACGTGCACATTGCAGTAGAAAAATCTTATAAAAGTGAATCGTACGTCTATAGATCAGTGAGCCGTTCTTATTAAGTCTTGATTAAACTCATCAATCCTACCTGACTGCTTTCGTTGCGCACTTGAACGTTTCTGCAAATGTTGATGCCCGTACGTCTTAATTTATCTGTCTTTCAGTTAGGGTTTATGCTCCATTTTATGCACGTGCATTCATGCATCTGGATTTCTTGTGCTTATGTTCCTCTTTCTTTTTTCTTCCTGAGTGTGCAGTGTAGTCCTATTTGAATTTAAAGCTATTAAATTTTAATACATCCATTCAAAAAATACTCTAGTGTTCCTATTATTTAAAGAAATGGTGATTTATTAGTTTAAATAAATAAGGCAAATAAAATGCATAGTATTGTTCAAAAAGATTTATTATTTCATATTTTATTGGATGTACAAATTTTGCGTGATTAAATCATTCCAGTAAATGCCTTAACAAATTTTCAAAAATTACAACTCTTATCTATTTTGAAATTTAGCATAGGCACAAAAAGCGAAGATGACTCGAAGGTCCACGAAACTCACGACGACCACAGCATATCATCCAGCAACCCACTTCGCATGAGCGCGTTTTCAAAAAATCGTTTGCTGCGGCAACAAACCACCACGGCCGCCGTGTCTTCAAGTTACGACAGCCACAACATCAAGCGCAACGATCAAACCAGCGATCGAATGAAGAAGCAATCAGAAAGTACAAATTCTGACGACACTGAATACACTCCAATTTTAAACAGAACCAAATTATCGGATGTTTTATCATCGTCATCGCATCTTGCATCAAACGCAGACACAAGCACAGGGAATCCTGCAAGACGGAAACATGTTTCACCGGCAGATTCCACTGAAACGTACGACCACAAGCTCCACGAAAGCAACATTTACAACAGCAAGATGCCACCTAGGAGTCCCTCCCCAAACAACAGGTACGTTCAGAAGTTCGCTGAGATCAACAGAGCAGTCATGCACACCGAGGTTGCAGCCGCTGGTAAAAGTGGTTTTTCAAAAGCACCAAAATTATCAGAAACACCGAAAATGGCTTCGTTGAATTTTCTTCATCCGGTTATTAATTTTTTTTTTTTTTGGTTTATAATGAACATTTGTTTTATTTAAAATTTGATAAAAATGTATGAAATTATTCATAAGAATGATGTTTAGGTCAGAGTGGTACATGATGCAAGGGTCATGCGTAGGATCAAATAATATTTTACCTAATTCTCATTTGACGTGAACTTTTCTTCTTCTTCTTGTTGATGTTGTGTGACTAAATTTTGCAATTTGGAGTTTGTTTTAGATTTATTTAAAAATGTAAAAGAATTTCCTAATTTTTTTTTTTTACAGATCAAATTTTTTTTACTCTCTTTCAAATTGAATAAAAGTTCATTAGTATTTTTAATTTCCATTAAACCGTAAAAAATTTAAGTCATTGATTTTTTTAAATTTTAACAAATTCATTAACAGAAACAAGTATATCGATCAAAAATTAATAATATTACTTTCCCACCAAAATAGGACTCTGCTTTTCAATCTCCAGCTCAACATTTTAAAGCAGCTGCCAAATTCATAACAAAACAGCTTTCCTTGTGTGACGACCACACGCAAGACGACCAGCCGCTGCCTCAAATTCCTCGCTCACCCCTCCTCTCCTCCTCGCCTAAATATCCACTCTCGCCCTTGCTTCAACAACAACCCATTCAAACTGCAACCTCAAAATCACCCTCGCCTCGACAAGTTTCACCCCTTTCAACTCCAGTGTCACCTGGAACCAACGCAGTGCACGCAACGAATCAGACAGCAATCAACCAATCGCCTCTATCTTCATCCTCTCCCGCTTCAAACGTTAGCATCGCCTCTCCAGTTGCCAAACCAGCCCACCACGGATCTATAAGGAGTAGGCTTCTTGAGTTGAAACTTGCGTCACACATCAAAACAACGCTGGTCAGTTGCTTCGGTTCATCGTAATTATGGTTATTACAAATTTCACAGGTTTTAATATAGCAAAGAAAGCTAAACGAAACTTGAAAAAACTCATAATTTTGAATTATTTTGAATTATTTTTGCAATACTGCATAATTTTTTTAAATAAAATTTTTATTAAGTTAAATAAAATTTAAAAAAAGTTATGAAATTAATAAATTAAAATTGAATTAAAAATAATTAAATTTTAAAAACAACAGAGCGGCAAAGGCCACAACCCAGGAGCCAGCCAGCCGGGTTCATCGACGTCAGCACTTTGGAAAGCTGCAGCCATGATGAACAGCAGCTTCCCACTTTTAAAAACGCAGTCACTTGATATCGAACCATACGCAACAAAGAAGCCTCCCCCATTTAAGAACGAGATGGATTCCTCTGCTTCTTCCTCATATCTCCCGGTCACCTCGCATTCCGAATGTAGACTTCAGCAGCAAGATTCCACGGATGAAAACAGCCAGCAACGGAAAAGTGCAGCGGATTCAATGTTGTCCCTGGGTTTAACTGGTGACGAAAACGCGCTGAGCAACTTTCAACCCATCTCGCCTTCGTCGGGGGCCATAAATGAGAAACTCGGAAGTATACAGTTCAGTCTGCATTACAACCACCTGCAGTCAACGTTAACACTTCGCATCATCAAAGCGTCTGATTTGGTTGCGAAGGACTTCAGTGGAACGAGCGATCCTTACGTCAAAATTATGCTACTTCCAGATAAAAAAAGAAAGCTAGCTACAAATATCAAAAGAAAAAATTTGAATCCTCGATGGAATGAAACGTTTGCTTTTGAAGGTTATTCATTCTTTTCAATAATTTGCATGGCAATACTTTAATTTTTTGTTAAATTTATTCAATAAATTGAACAATTGAAATTTTTCTATTGGGAGATTATGTTTTTGACAAGCCGAATTGCTCATAAACTATCAAAATTGCCGTCGTTCTAGCCAGAAAAAAAAAAATTTCAAAGAGAAATTTTGTTTTTTGTTATACCTAAAGCACGTACGGTTGAATAAAAGGATGAAACATTTCAGAGACTTGCATGCGTTGAAAGTACGCATTGAAACAGCAACGAAATCTCCGTACGCATACTTGATCAAACAGCATGGACTTTTCTATTCATTTAATGGTAGCAATACGACTCATGTACGTAAGCGCGTGTGCAACAGACTGCACGCACATACATTAAGTAGGTGCTCTAATGTTTCTATTTGTCTGCCTAGAAATTGGTTTTCTGTGCATTGCATACAGTGGTTGGTTCAAAGAACGATTGCACGTTCATCTTTCTAATTAAATAATAAACTTTCTTTTCATTATAAACAACTAATCGCGATTGACAAAAACACGACTTGAGCACATGAACACGTTATGCTTCAGCAAAAGAATTTGGTCAGAAAATGAAAATAACAGAAAAATTATTGGGTGACTTTGTGCGAAATATCCATTCAATTCCTTCCTGAATCGGAAAACGTGCAGTACAAAATTTGCATTTCACACGCAGGTTACAATAAGAAGAGACATTTTGCTTTGCTCTGTTGGCGTTTTATTATCACCATTCCATTTTTGTATTTGCTATTTAGATTGCTTTTTCATCTTTTCGTAGATTCAATTCTACTTTCATTAATGGCCGGTTGATGTATTGAAGTCAATATTTACTCATTTTAATTTGCTTTCTCTAAAAATTTTTTGCAAACCAACGAAACTCCACATTTAACGAGAAAATTTATCAATATCTATTAATACTAATTTCATTTTATTACTTTTACTTGCAAGACAAATTATTTCAAAATATCACGAAACGAGAAAATTTATCAATATCTATTAATACTAATTTCATTTTATTACTTTTACTTGCAAGACAAATTATTTCAAAATATCACGAACTGTTTCACCCTAAATTTGCTGTATCAAATTCGAAAGTTGTATAGAAAGATGCGAATATGTGCAGTATGATGAAATGATAAAACATTCTTACCTAACTATATGTAGGTTTAATAGAACTGTTCTATCTAAAATTTTTTTTTTGATTATATTTGAAAACATTCAATTTCGTGTAATAATCCATTTAAAATGATTTTTGAATATATTTGAGAATATTCAATTGAATAAAATATTGTATTGTAGAAAAAATGTTGCCATCTAAATACACATCTGCCCCTGGAGGATACCTGCAAATTCTTTTTGGTTTATTAAGCTTCGTCGACGCCTTATAAAAGCACTCCAGTATCGTGTATCATGTATGTGTATCATGTGTGTATATCACGTGTGTGTATCACGTATCATGTGTTGAGTATCATGTGTTGAGTATCATGTGTTTGGTATAATGTGTTGGGTATCATGTGTATTATCAGTATGTGTAATTTTTGTGTGTGTGTGTCATTAAACAAATGTGTTATCATTTGTTGTGTATCATGTAGATGTATAATGTTTCGTTTATCATGCGTTGTGTATCATTTGTCATATATCATGTGTCCAGTAGCATTTTTGAAATATCACGCTTATGTATAGTGAGTGTTATTTCTAGTTTTGTGCATCAGAGCAGATGTATAGGTTTGCATGGTTTATTAATGTGAATTTTGTAAAATGTACACTGCATTGCGAATGATGAATTTAATGCCATAAATTGGGATATCTATTTATTTATAATATATATATTATATATTATATTATTATATATTATATTATTATATATATATTATATTATATATATATATATACATAATGTATCACTATTTATTGCATGAAACTATATATATATATATATATATATATATATATATATATATATATATAATATATATATATATACATAATGTATCACTATTTATTGCATCAAACTATATATATATATAAATATATATATATATATCAATATATATATCATTTATCATACACTATATAAATATATCTTTATATAAATATATATCTGATTATATCTAAATGTATGTATATATATATATATGTTTGTTTCTATGTGTGTATATGTGTCGTCGTATGTCGTGATGAATGTCATCCAGTGTATGATAGATGGTATTTAATGCGAATTAGATGGTGTGTGGCTTATGATGGATGGTGCATTACTTATAGTTTGGCATTTGGCTTGGATCAGCAGTACTGTACACATAGCACATGTAGTTTATTGTTGTGCGTGTAGTTTGTGTGTGCGTGTGTGTGTGCGTGTGTGTGTGTTTGTGTGGTGTGTGTGTTTGTGTGTGTGTCACTTTCTGAGGTCTTTTGACTGCGTAACTTGTAATGGTTGGTTGAGATACGAGATTGAAAATGATGTGACCACAAAATGCTCGTTGGGACTAATGTCTTTTCAATATTGGAAATTTGATGATAATATGATGATATGTGTGACAAAAACAATTGATAAGATAGATAAACAAAATGTGAACATGGTTGTGATGACGTTTGTGAGTTAACAATGATTAGATATTAACGTTAAGATAACAAAACAATGAAAGACAAAATTAATTATGATGCTTTGAAGAAAGGTAATTTGAAGACAAAGATTTTTAGCGGGATAAGCAAGAAAACGAAGCCTCCTACAATGAATTTTGAAAACAGATGGGTTTTGAGATCCGCTCTGAACTTCGCAAGTGATGGAGTGAAATTTCATTATTTTCACATTTAGAATGAAAACTGTTTCAGAGCTTCTTTTTCAACAGAAACGTTGTAAAAATTACATTAGGACATGGCACAAAAGCGTTGGTTGCCTAATCTAAACTTTCCCGCAGAAGATTGCGGATCACTGGCATCATCGGTTATATGCAACTGCATTCATGTCCTAATGACGGCTATGAAGGAAAAATGACATTACGTTGCAATCAGGCGTCAGTAATTAACCAGCGCGCACGCTACGTAAAAAGTAACTTATCTTTCTTACGAGATGAATTTTGATGATTGCTGGTTTCGATCGTATTGTGATTAGTTATCGTTGCTGCTATTTTTGGATTACACATGTGTTGTACGCCAACTGCATCTTTTTAAGTGGGGAAACATCTCACTACATACGGGCATCGGGCAATTAGAAAATAATTCAATTTGATATAAAAATTATTTCGTTTAAAAATCTATTAACAAAAAATGTCAATAAACAAAATTATGCATTCATCGACAAAAATTGAAAAATAAATTTCCTCCCTGGCCGCAAAATGATTACAATCGTGCGTCCGGTCGAACATCAGCTCACCACGCATTTACAAGAACGTACAAACACACACACTCTCTCTCTCTCTCACACACACATACACATTCACACGCACACATCCACACAGACACACAAGCAAGTCATCCACTTGAGTAGCGTTTGTTGCCAGGCGAACGATTGAATCAAAAATGCCTGAGCGCTGCTGATGTTTCTGAATTACATTTTGAGAGAGAGGCTTTGTTTCATAAACTGTCTTTAGCATGGAAAACTTTGTCCCAGTTTAACCTATGATAGGCAGACTCGTGTTGTTGATAATATTACTTTTAACGTCGATGTTCTTTTATCTTATGCATCTATCAATTGTTAGTGGAACCTGTAATTTATCACACTCAATTTTTAGCATATCATTTCTAATTTATGAATTAATTTGTTGATTTTTTAATTTAATTGACAAAATTTGTCTATCTGTGTATTAAGACCAAAACAAGCATTTATGGATTTTTTGTAGATCTACAAACGCGTTGTTTGACTTGTACAACCGACGTCTAACAGTCTGAGGTGTTTTTCAAAATTTTTACCAGCTATCATGTAGAAAAAATGTTATAAATATTTTACATGAATGACCGTGATAAAGAAATTTTTATTTAAATTGTTAACATTAAAAATGGTTGCACAACGCACTGGTAACATCTTCATCAATTTTAAAGATGATTGAAAAGAGTATATTTTCTGAGAGACGCAGGCCAGGCTTTAAAAATTATTTTTAAAACAGAAACAAATTTTTTTTCAAATTCTAACACTTTCAGGACTCGGTTGAATAACATTCCTTTTCAATTTGGCTTCCTAAAATATTCCAAGTGCGACTCCAGCCAAAACCTCCGACTCCGACACTGGTTTTAATTTTGGAATACATTTTAAAATTTGATGACATATAATTTGCATTCACATTTTCAAACTTAAGTTTAAAATTTCAATTTAAATTAAAATACGCAGATATAAATATTCAATTTTTAATTATTTCATTTTCTCATGAAAAACTAGAAAATGAACAAATTTTATAACGTGAAAAATATTTTTAAAATTTGTTGGGAGACTGAGATGCTGTTTTTAGTCTCTATTGATGGATATTTCTGGAACACGTTTCCTGTCCGTCATTACTTATCTCCGTTTGAAAAAATTTAGAAAACTTTTCCAAGGAAAAATATATTATAAACTTCTCTTCTCAGTTACTGAGATCAAATTTCAGCCAATGATTCAATGATTCATCAAACTATTTACTGCCTCTGCATCTGTGGTTACAACATTTTTTATATTGTTTGTTACATTCTCGTGTCATCTTTATAAAAATTCAAATTGCTAACAATGCGCAAACCAAAGTAATATCATCAAATTATTTCAACATTCAATTGTCAGGATAATTATAAAACTACATTATGAATAACAAAAAATTAGAACGAACATGACAATGATGACGGTGCTTATTTATTTTTCTTTAGAGAAATAGTTTTCCAATGAATAGATAGATGGTAATCAATTATATATGGCTTGTGTTCAATTATTCATGGAGTACTCTATCGATGCTTCAATAACCAGCAGCGAGCATTTTTATCTGCAATGTCGTTTGATCTTTCAATTTGTCCTT